ATTCGTCAAGAATATCTTATTATTATCTTATATTAAGGTCATATATAATAGAATAGTTAAAACAACCATTTAAATCGAAAACTATATTCATAAATTTCGAAATATATAGAGAGACAATAAACCGTACTTTGACCTCTCTAATCCATCCTTCAATCCTCCATTACTATTCTGTAGTGACTAGATAAGTCTCCATCTACAATTTTTTAATATATTTCATATAATGTTTTTGAAATTTTATATTCCTTTTTTTTTTCCTATTTCTTTTTTTTTAAATTTTTTTTGGATATTGATACATTTCTCGATACTAAAGATATTATGTGTGATATAATCTTGAAAATATGTGTATAAAAGAGAATATATATATGGGTTTATCCTCTGGTTTTTTCGACAAACCATGACTATGAGACATACACACGGTGGACATAACTCAAGAAGGGACGTCGACTGGTACGCGCAATGACCTTATTGTTGCGTGACGAACAACAGGCGGACAGAAGGAAGGAAGGAAAGAAGGTAAAAGAAAGAAAAAGGAAGATTGCTAACCTTAGGGCTTGTTGCAAATGGTGGAATAGAAGGGGAACAGCAGACAACGCGTAAGGAAGTGGTCGAAAAGAGGGGAAAGTTCGGAACTTCGGCAGATGTCCATAGTAGCAGTATACGTGGCAATGATGGGTACTTTTTTCCTCTCCCTTTCTCACGAGACGCTCGATTTTCATCATAACTCGTAAATTCGAAGAGGGGAATGAACATGTAATTGGTGAATAGTTTCGTTAATCCTCTTCTTGTTGCATTGAAATGATATTTATTGTTTAAAATTTATGAATTTATTTGGTTGTTTTAATAATTCTTTGAAGAATTGATGTAACTAGTTCCAGATGTGTTTACAATGTGTTAGAATGAAATTACCGTAAGTCGGTATCATAAATCGTAATAAAAATGAAAATAAAATATTATGAAGTTTAAATATTAATATCTGTTAGGTTTTAATAACGAATGTTATAATCTACATTTTTTGTGATAAAAAATAATTTTTTAAATTTCAATAATTAGCAAATATTGAAATATTCTCTTACATAAGAAATGCAATATTTCATAACTGAATATTCATGTTATGTCATTATAATTGATGTGATTTGTTAAAATTCATTAGGAAAAAAAAATAATTTTTTGCGTGATATTATAATGATTAAAATGCAATTATTCAATATGATAATGATAATAATAGCATCACATAAGTTACAAAGATCATTTTATAAAATTTGATATCATATCTTCTGAAATACTAACCTCAATAAAATATTATAACCTCAAAAAAAAATGTATTTTGTGCCTTCTATGATTTAGTACAATCAGTACAAATAATGTATTTATTATACTATTTTCATTAAAAACAATACAATCAATAACTATACTATAGTAGAAAAACTTTCGAATCTTTAAAAAAAATTGCACAATGATAGATTGCAACAACAAAGAATCTTTAGTATGTTATAATTTACTTTTTTTATTTATATATATTTGATTTAAATCATTATGATGTCGTTATAATACTAATATATGATTTGATTTCTAATTTAAATCTACAACATTTAATAATGAAATTAAGTGAAATTTATAGATTTTTTTTCTGTTTTACATAAGATCAAAATGATTATTACAAATATTCATTTAATTTACAGTTAAAAGTTACGTATAGTTTTATTTACAGTAATTAATTGCAATTGTTTACTGAATCGATAATGTCGCATGTGATACGAAAATGGTAAGAGAATCAACTATCAAGATTCTATTACATGAAAAAACATTTTATATTCTATATTTCGTTTGTGATAATATTATTAGATATGTTCGAAAGTAAATTTTTATAAATCATTTTTAATATAGATAGATTTTAAATTCTCGTTTTTTATAATTATGAAACTAACTAATTAAATAGAATCATAAAAACATATGAAAATGAATCTTAATAATGAAAACAAAAATTAATATCATTAGTCATTATTGAAAATTCTATCAAAATGTACTGCATTTAAGTCATACGTTCGAAGTCCTAGACAAAGGGGGCAGCTGTTGCAGGGCACCTGCTCGTGCCGCCACCTTTCAAGTAAATGCTAAGTGCAAGAGCTTGTTCATTCATTTTGTCTCATGAGGATTAACAATTTCTTGTCATCGAGGTTGAATTAGCTTATTGGAAATTTCTACCGGATGTCCTCGATCTTCGATAGTAGTTTTACATGCTAATTCTGAAAGGAATAGGAACTTAGTAAGATGTGTTCAATTTATATGACAATATTGAAATAAGGAAAAGAGAATTTTGCGTTCTCAACTTATTCAAATATTTCGAGCAAAATCATTTTAAATATATAATTGCAAATTTTGATATTGAGTTAGTATATTAAAATATAAAATAAATTAAAGTAATATTAGATATTTATACAATATTTATCATTAAAATAATATTTGATAATTTTTATTCTTTGTCTCTTCATTTTTCTATCATAATTTAAATATTACATAGAAATTCTGGTTGTCAGGAAATTATAATTATCCTTTTGACCAAACAGGAAGTCAGAAGCACCGAGGTAAGAGGATAGGAAGATATAAAATCCAACGTGATCCGGTAGCATATTACTCTTTCCTTTCCTGTGTTACAACCATTATTCTTATCTTTCTTTTACGCTCTCATTCACGTCCTCTCGTGTCTCCTTTTTGTCTGTTTTCCTCCTTCCCTTCCTCTGTCATGTATAACACATATAAAATTGCTACCCTAAATTGATTAATGAGTAGTCCCGACTGAGTCGTTTCCTTTGTCCCTTGTTTCTACTGTGAATATCACATATTGAGTAAAATCATGATAATTTTTATCAGTTATTCCGCATTTGTCCACGTGCCTTTTGAATTTTTTTTTCCTTGTTTCTTCTGTTTTTTTTTTTTTCATTATTTTTAGTCATCTTTTCAAGAAAATAAATAAGTAACAATAAGAAAATAAAATTTTACAATTAATTAAAAGCAATTCCAAAAATTGCTATATTATATTTCAAAATGCCATAATTATCAGAATTATAAACTCTAAAGGTATTCATAATATCCATTTAGTCATTATATATGTGCATACATATGTATATTAAACATATCCCATGTTTGATTGCTTTACAACTTAAATCAATTTGATTGTATCTTGAAAGATGACCGATCTCATCCCATATCCCTTTTCGCAATCGTCATCAATAAAACGTTAGATGTCTGACCAGTATAAATATTCATGAACAGTGGACATTTTATAATTTATTTGCAATGCTTTCGAAGCAACGTAAGAAGGGGAATATACCACCCCCACTCAGGGTTAACAAACATCATGCGTGCGCACAGTGCTCCATCCTTTTTATATATCTACACAATTCTCTCGGCTATCGCGCCACGACGTGTATGTAT